GAAACGGGGCTCTCGTTTGAGCGCCGCGCACATTTGCCTGCAAGCTTGCAACAGGCACACGGATGGATGAGGACCTTTTCAAGAAGGGGCTCTCGCCACGTCGGCGCGCACATTCGTTTTGGACGGTCCCTTTTCGAACATGGGGCGATCCCCCTGGTCGTCCTCAATTTCCCAAACAATGCTTGCACTTAGGGCTTCTTATGTGGGTTGCTAAGAACTTGGAAGTGTCTGGCGAGGTTTCACAACGTTGCCGCCCGTTGCCGCCTCCTTGCCGCCTCGTTCGCTGGGTGGGTCTGGCGATGTTTCGCCGCGTTGCTGCCCGCTGCCGCCTCGCTTCCGCCTCGTTGCTACTTCGTTACCGCTTCGTGCGCTGGTTGGGTCCGCCGATGTTTTGCCCCGTTGCCACCTTGTTGCCGCCTCGCTGCCACCTCATGTGCCGGGTGGGTCGGGCGAGGTTTCGCCACGCTGTCGCCCGTTGCCTCTTGGTGTCGCTTCGTGCGCCAGGTGGGTCTGGCGAGGTTTGGCCACGTTGCCGCCCGTTGCCGCCTCGTAGCGCCTCGTGCGCTGGGCGGGTCCAGCTAGGTTTTGCCACGTTGCCGCCCGTTTCCGCCTCGTTGCCTCCTCTAGCTTGCACCGTGTAGATTGCACCACATAGCTTACACTACAGAGTTTGTCTACATAGCTTACAGATCCACCGTGCAATAACTTACCCTCCAGGGTTCAGGCTTGACAACGGTCCAACCTTCCGAATACATTTAACATCAGCGCGGATGGAGGGCGGCTCATTTTCGAAATGGGTCTCTCGCTTGAGACGTCCTCGAATGTCATGGCCAGCAGTGTAGACACTGCAGCAGTTACAAAGATGGGGCGACACCTCGTTGGACACTTGTTGGAGTTTGTATAGTCGTATCGTCTTGCAGTCTTGATTACGCGCTAGAAGGATGAAGGCAACTCCTTTACAAGGGGTGCTCGTGCCTGAACGACACTCCCATGTAGTGGTGGTCTTTCAACAGGGTGGCTTCTTGTAGTAGAATGGAAGACTTGTAGGGACTCAGGAGGAGGGACTTGGGACAGGAGGGTGTCTTGCAGCATCCTTGACGCATCCTGGATTTACTCTGGCCCTCCTCCTTCTCCTCCTCCTCTTGCCTCCTCCTCCTTCTCCGCCTTCTCCTCCTCTTCCCTCCTCCTCTTCTCTCCTCCTCTTCCCTCCTCCCCCTCCTCCCCCTCCCCTTCCCCCTCCCCCTCCCCCTCCCCCTCCCCCCTCCTTCTACCCCCCAGGGCTCCCCCTTTCCTCCCTCCTCCCTCCCTCCTCCTCCCCTCCGTCCCCCGTCCTCCTCGGGGCGCTCCCCGGGCCCGAGAGGTCAGACCTGCAGGGCCCGGCCATGGTGCTGCTGGGTCAGGCCGTGGCCCTGGGCGCGCGGCTTCGGGGCGCCAGGCTCGGCGCCGTGCCCCCGCTTCACGACCCCCAGGGAGGAGGGAGGAGATCCTCGCCTCTCCTCTCTCCTCCTCTTTCTCGATCCCCGCCCCGCCTCGCTTATCCTTCTCGATCCTCCTCCTCCTCCTCCTCCTCCTCCTCCTCCTCCTCCTCCTCCTCGCTCCTCGTCCTCCTCCTCGCTCCAGTCGGCGCGAGGGGCTCAGGACATTTCTTCCGACCAGACCCAATCGCACAACTACGCCAGCCGACTGCACCAGATCCCCACTCGAACCCACAGGCCAGGAGGTGAGAAGGCCGCCCCAGCTGCTATGATAGGACCGACCCTGACAGGCACCGAGCACTTCTGACAAGAGGGATGACACGATAATTGCAGCATGCAGCCCGTATTCGGCAGGGGGATCGGAAAGACTGGAGGATTTTAGTGTGGCTGTGAGGAACTGGGATATCGTGATACTGAGTGGCAGACGCGAATGGGCGGGACCAGAACCAGTAAAAAAGGGAGTTAACCACAACACTGGGTTCCAAGCTTCCTGGGGACAGCAGTGGAAGTGCATTGCAGAAGTGCGTGGCACGAACATGCTCGTACAAAGCGATTCCCACCGGAATGTCCGAGGCACATGTGCTGTCCACCAGCGCAGATTCAGGGCAGAGCGGCAGGCAGAACAAAATAGGCAACGCTTGCAGCTATGGCATTTGTTGCTGTGTACTTGGCTCCTATCCATTACAAGCAGCACGAACCCTAGCACGCCGAATTTAGTGTACCATGGTGCAGGCCTGGCGGGTGGCAGCACCTGCATACCTCTACCTGTCACCTCACTGTGCGCTGCCCTTACGGCGCGCGCGCGTCTCTTGGGGGCATCCCGACTCATAGTGCGGGCGCTGTCCCCCAAGGGTGGGCATATGCAGATAGGCTGATTGGTGCGATCATCCTTCTTTCAGTTTATCAGCCGCGTTTGCGTTGCCTTCCAGGCCATGTGACTATCATCGACAGTTCCGGTAGGAAGCTAAATTGGCGAAGTTGCATACGTGGTGGCAACATCCACATATATCATCACGCCGACGTTCACCGAATACTGCACAGAGAGATGATACGTTTGCCCCCCCATTGGCAAGTTTTCTGTACATACATACAAATAAGGTCCTCTACTCGTCCATCATCCTTTTGCCTCCTCTAGTCATATATTGCTTCTCTGCTCCTCATTTATGTGCCCATCCCTCAGTTGGTTTCTCTCTTCTTCGCTTCTGCATGTGCGTGTTGTCACCGTGCCCACATTCATTTTGGAGCGTGTTGTGCGGCATGTTGCGCATTGCCGAACAGGCCGTGGCTTGACGACGTCTGCGTCGAGCACCCGCGAGCATGCAGCGTACCCAGAAAGGCCGGCGTCGGACGATGTGACCTTTGGGCGCCACGGTCTATCGAGCCGCGCCCGGCAAGACGGCAGCAGCGCGAGGAACCATCTGATCTCCTTGCGACCGAACCCCAGACGCGGCAGCGGCTGACCGCGTGAGCCGAGATGAAGTAGTAGACGCGCTGGAAGATAGCGAACATTTCACGACGCGACATGCACAGGTGAGCACAGTGACCCACGAACCGCTCCAGAGCTTTGCCGCTGATGCGGGGCCGCCGAAGAAGCAAGAGCCCTGCAGCCCTGAGCAACTCCAGCTTGTGGTCCGTGGGTTCGACGAGCCTCTCTCGGCCCATGACCTTGTGCCCCAGCGTGGCGGCGACCGCGGAGGGCCCGTAGATCTCGCGCACCACGAAGCCGACGCGCCGGAAGTGGTTGACCAGCTCGCCCCGCAGGGCCCCGGCACGCTGCGCGTCGGAGCTCGCGACGTTCAGGATGTCGGCGTAGGCGAGCAGCGCCGGCCTGCCATCCGACACGTCGGGGGCGGGCCGCTCGTCGCTCAAGATTCGATCCACAGTCGCGGCCTTGCTGCACATGGTCTGGTGGTATACCACGCGCTGGGCAACCCACGTGGCCCAGCTCCAGCTCATCGGGGCCGCCGCGAGGCAGGGCGACACCAGGCTGCCCTCTGGCAGCGACGCGATGTCGGGCGGGAGCCGGCGCGCGGTCCTCAGCAAGGCCACGTCGACGGCGGGGAGGGCAAAGTGCTCGGACAACTCCTCCGCGATTGCGAGGTGGTAGAAGTAGTTCGCCAGGTCCGCCTGCGCGGCGCGCCTGCCCGAACTCGAGGTCCGCCAGCTTGCTCCCCGACGACGCGTTCATCTTCGGGCACCTCGCGAACCTCGTATTGACTGCCTTACAATCCCACGCGATGCGCAACTGCCCAGACTTCTTCCGAGCGAAGAACGGCGTGATGGGATCCTGAGCGTTGGTCGAGTATCTCAGCATGTTGGCGCGGTCCAGCCGTGCCGCGAAGTCCGCGTACTCGCCGGGGTCCGAGGCGAGAATCGGGCCCATGCGGGGGGCAAACGGAGCCTCGCTCTCGCGTTGCCGACGCAACTCATCGTCAGACAACATCATGCGCGACCGAAATTCCCCCGAAGGCAACGAGCCCCCTCGGGGTCGAGAACATCAAGTGCGGGGGGGGGGGGCTGCTCTCACTCCTCCGGCGCCGCGATCCGCGTGGCGTCGTACCTGGCCGCAGCATTTGGGACCTCCTCGCTGTCGTGGACGAGGTCGGAGCCGAGAAGCTCGCGGGCGGCTTCTCGCAGCTGAGTAAAAGAAGGCGCTCCTGCGGGAAGAACGTGCCTCAAAACTGTGCGCTGGGCCGCTGCCTGGGCCGCGCTCCTGCCCGCCCTTGGCGGTGCCGGCGACGAGGGGGAGGGCGCGCCGTAGAGCTCGTTCAAGGCCTGGATACTTTCGTTGGCCCTGGGCCCTTTTGCGCGGCGACGTCGTAGCCGCTGGCGAATTGAGCGAGAAAGCTGCGAGGCGTCCGGCGTCGCCTCGTCGAAAGTCGGGAGCGGGAAGAGCTCCCTGGGCCCGCGCCGGGCCTCGCCACCCTGAGGCGGAACTGGGTAGCAAGGCTGGCGAGCGAGGGGGGCAGGCAGGCCCGGTCGCCGCCCCCGCGGCCCGCGCCGCGTCATTTCTCGCCTGCGTCTTTGGCGGCCGCCGCGCCCTCTGTCTTGCCGCGACCCTTGGCCATTGCGTTGGTCTTCTCCCGCGCCTTCCTAGCCTCATTTAAGATCGCCGACTCCTGCCTGAGCTGGTCGGCGACGTGGGCCGAGAGGCTGGGCGCGATGGCCGCGCCCCCCGCGCGGCGACTCCAGCCCGTGAACTGGCCCGCAACGCTGTGGTCGGGCTGGCTCGGCGCGACTCTCCTTGATCAGCGCGAGTCGCCGCGAGGCCAGCTCCGTGCATAGGAGAGACGCGCAGTTCAACTGATCCTGCGTCGCCGCCGCGTCGAGGATGCGGCTGAGAACCTCGTGCTCGTGGATGCCCCGATCCCCCAGTGGCGCCTTGGAGAGGCGCGCCCGATTCTCGCGCGAGAGGAAGGCGCTGTTGCCGTTGCCCCGCACGTGCTTCATGAACCAAACAAAGGGCGGTGCGAGGGCCCTGAAGATCCCAAGGCGTGTGCTCCTCCGGCGAATGGATGGGCCAGCGCGTCGCCCCATGTGCGTCGACGCTCGCCCCGGACATCATATCTGACAGCCAACGTGCGAGCGTCGCCCTTGGCCAGCACCGGCGCGTCCACAGCAGAGAGCTGCGCGACCGCCACCGAGACGCCAGCCACGCGGATGAGGGCGCGGTCGCCGAGCACGAGGGCGCCGGGCGGAAGCTGGTAGCACGCGACGTCGCCCATCGAGTAGCCTCCACGATCCTCCACGGCGTGCCGGTTGAGCCCGGGTGGAGGCGCCGGCATGGCGCCCGGCGCCGGTGCGCGGCCGCGGCGGCGGCGGCGCCTCCGGCCAACCCGGGCGGGATGCCGAGCGCGGCGCCGGCGGCTGCGCCGGCGGCCGCGCCCGCGGCGGCGCCACCTGGACGCGAGAGGCCTCCGCCTCCTGGGGCAGACGGCGCGCCCCCCGCGGGCGCCAAGGCCGCGGCCGCCCCGGCAGGCGGCGCTGCGCCTGGTGCCGTGCCGGCCGCCGCGGCCGCAGCGCGCCTGCATCGCCGCCGGGCGGGTTGAAGTGGCGCGCAAGCGGCAGCGGCGCGCGCGGCGCGCCCAGGTGGTGAGTCCCGAGCATCGCGAAGGCGTCGATCATCGCCTGGGCCGGCGCCGCACGGAAACCGTAGACCTGTCCAGCTGCGGCCCCAGGCGGCGCCTCCCTGGCGTGCGACAAAATGTGCACACTGACGAAGTCCAGCCCGACGGTATACGACTCCTCGTAGTAGTCGAGATCGGGCGTGGGCCCATATGCCTCGAAAGACCCTGGGCGGACAGCCAGAACCAACCTCGCATGATGCGCGGCAGGGCCCAGGGCGCCACGCATTCACATAGCTCCCTGCATTCAGCGCCATCGCGCTCGCGATGCAGCACCGCGGCTCCGCACGAAGGACAGCTGCGCCCGCGCCTGCTCCTCGATCGACGGGGCCGCCTCCTTCGCCACGACTGTCGGGCCAGACTCGTGCGCCGAGCGCCGCTCGACGGTCGGGAACCCCCACGCGGCGCCGAGCACGTGCGCGGTGACGACCAGCAGCGCCAACGCCGTCACCGCGCCGGCCATCGCCAGCGGCGACGGCGTCTCACAGACGCACGTGGTCGCCGGCACAGCGGGGCAGTGCAGGACTGGGGCGCAGGCTGGGCACGGCTGGCCCGCGCCCCGCAATGCCGCCCTGGTACTGACCCCGCGCGCGAGATCCAGGATCGTGGCGCGGGCTACTTGCATAGCCGGAAAAAATTGAGCCATCGTGTCAATGGAACGATGGCGATAGGACGGCGGTGCTCCAACACCGCAGACAACATTCCCGAGCAAGCGCATCCATCCCGCGTCCAGCTCATGCCCCCTCTTCTAACGTCGCACTCAAGGCATCCGTTAGCAGGAGAACGACGGCAGTCAACCCTGACACTGCAGCACCGATGACACATGCTGTGAACACTATTTGTGTATGTCGGTTTCGGTGTCTTGCTGCTCCAGGAGGCACTTCCTTGTCTCCATGCAGTTTTGGTTGCCTCGACCTTTCTGTGGATCCCCCCAAAGCTGTGTTCGCTTGGTAGATACGGCCCTGGGACCCTCATTCCCCTCATCGTTGGGCCTTTGATGTTTCGCTCGTGCGTAGCTGTCCCGCAATACCGTAGCATCCTTGCCCCCTGAAAGGAAGGGTCCGAGGAGCAGAAGGCCGCAACGAGAAGGTCAAAGGAGGAGGGGCCCCAGGAAGGGAACCCTGGCCCCTGGGGGCCCCGGGCGGTCCGGGATCAGGGGCGGGGGAAAGCTTTCTTGTCATCAGCGACGATCGGCGGCGAGGGTGCGACCGATGCACGCCCCGCGAGTGGGGCCGCGGGGCGGGAGGAGGGAGGAGGGAGGAGGGAGGAGGGAGGAGGGAGGAGGGAGGAGGGAGGAGGGAGAGGAGGGAGGGCGCGCCGCGTCCCCCCCCCCCCGAGGCCGCCGGCGCCGCCCGCGCCGGACGCCTCCCTGGCCGCCGCGCTGGCGGCGCTGCCCGCGCTGGGCGAGGAGGCCGCCCGTAAGGGGTCGGCGGGGCGCGGCGCCTCGCCGAGGCGCCAGCGAGGCCTCGGCAGCTCAGGAGGGAAAAACACACACACACAGACACAATTCATCGTCGATTTCCAAGAAGATATGGGGAAATATGGGAAGTGGGGGGGAAGACAAAGAACCCAGAAAACATGGGGAGATATGGGGGATCCTTTGATTTGTGTGTATTACGATATGGGGAGATATGGGAGATATGGGGAGATATGAGATATGGGGGATCATGTGATAGGAGGGGAAACGCACACAGACACAATTACGGTAGGTTCGTGTCGTGTCGACCGGCGACGACCCCGCCAGCGGCGTTCAGTCTTGAACGCCGCGGGTGACCCAGAATCGTTCGATGTGGAACGATTTGGACGTTTCGGAAACGGCCGATCGTTCAAGGCTGAACGATCCCCCCATCTACTCGGACCCATCTTGTAAGCCTTGCATGACCTCTCCCTGCCTCTTCAGAAGGCCACGCACACATTCGTCGGGGGTTGCTACAGGTGCCCTTGGCCCAAGGTGCCCCCAGCTTTTCGCTACCCAAGAAATCTGCGCGGGGCTCCAAAAGTTCTGCTTCTGCAGACTTTTTGTCCCTCTGTGTACCTCCCGGCGCCCCAACCCCCGCGGGGCCCCTCGTCATGAGCGACAGAAGGACGTAGGCGTTCCTGCATCCACGCTGGTTTTGAAAGCGCGCATTGCGCGAACACTCGTATCTCGAGGCTGGTCTCGCGGACTGAGGAGCCACAAGCATGTGCGCGGCTGGGCGCGTACGTGCTGGGTGGGCTCTTGCCGGCGGGCGCGGCCTCGCGTTTCCGTGCGCCACGACTTTGTTCCGCGGGCCTCTCGGCGGGCGGCGGGCGTTGCCCGCGATCCCCCCGCGCGGCTCTTCGCGCCCTGAGGCTTTCGCGGCTCTGGTCTCAGGAGCGACAGACAGGGGCAGACACAACTAAACGTCGATGCCCAGGAACATGTGGGAAACGTGGATGGGGGAAACGTCCAGAACATGTTGAAACTATGGTGAATCTTGGGATTTGTGTGTAGTTGTTTGTGTCTGCCTTGGCCCCTTCATTTTCGGAGGCCTGAAGGTTGGCACCAACACCGATATCTCGAAGAAGTCCCCTCGAGCCGTCTTCGAGGCCTCTTGGACCTTCATTGGGGCCTCTCCAGGCCGTCTTGGGCCGTAATGAGGCCCTCTTGGGGGCTTCTTGCGCCGTCTCGTGGCAGTTTTGGAGGCTGCTTGGGCCGTCACGGGCCTCTGAGGGTCGAGAAAGGGTAGAAATTAACAATTCTTCAAAAAGCTGAGGAGCATCGATGATTTTGTCCTCGGGAGGCGCTTTTGGGTGTCCTCTTGGAGCCCCCTGGGGCCTTCTTGGAGGCTTCTTGGATCCTCTTGGGGCATCTTGGACCGTCTTGGGGTCGTCTTGGCCCGTCTTGAGGCCATGTTGAGCCGTCTTGACGCACTCCTGGATCCCCAAGAGGCCCAAGGGGCCCAACGCATGATTGTGTATATATACATATATATATACATATTGTAGATGTATTTGTGTATGTGTCTATATACATGTATAAATATATGTCCATAGGTTTTTGCAGGTTTTGGGGTCCAGATGGGGGTCACCACAATTGGTCGACCGATGGTGCGTGGCCCCTGGGGGGGTGTTAGGGGGGAGACATTGTGATGTAACACAGTATAGTGTGTGGCAGTTCTGCAATCATTGGATACCTGGGATACATTTCATTAGGGCTTCCGCTCCGCTGCGCGACCTGCCTCTGGCAGCACGTCACTTCCGGACGTGGATTTTCCAGGCTTGCGCCACATCCGGCGATCCACCAGTAGTATTTGCATCTTTTGCTGGGGCTCGAATGATGGGTGGTGACCTGGACGCGCAGGGTCCCGTCGAAGCGGGGACAGAGAGAGAGGGAGGGGGGGCGAAGGCTGGCAGCTGTTCGTGCCGATCTTGAGCGGGGCCCGCTGTCCGCGCCGCCGCGTGCGTGGTCCATCTGGCACGGGCGCCGCACGCCAGAGCAGCGACCGCTGCCAAGCTTTTTTGGGCAGCGCCCGCTGGGTGGGCATCCGCGGCCCGGAAGATGCCGACCGCTTCCCCCGGGGGTGGGGTGGCTCTTCGTCTCAGGTCCGTTCTTGGTGGTACCGGGGGGCTCGCGATGGCGGCCACCGCGGGCCGCAAATGGGGAAAACCGCTGGTGGAAGAAACCGTATCGTCGGAGACCTGGGCTTCGGGCGTGCCAGCGGCCAGCTCTCCTCCCCGACCCGCCGCGGCATGCGGATCGGCGTCACCCCAACGTACTAATACGATGTGTGCGTCGCCCCCCCTGGGGCGACGCGTGCGCCGAGAAATCTTATAGTATAAGCTCAGTGGCAGGCGCTTTCTGGCCATACGGCTCGGAAAACGATGTACTACAAGATGTTTGTACTCCATGTTCGTATCGGACGTATGCCTCCGAGGAGGACACATCGTACGAGCTCTAGGCCCTCCTAGATAGGGTCGGAGGAGATGGAGTCGGAGGATCGCGCCGCATCGCCGATGCGTCGCCGATTTTGCTCGATGTGGAGCCCGATTTCCTCCGCTCGACGCCGCCGTTGCATCGCCGACGTCGCCAGTGCATCGGCGCTGCATCGGCGCTGCAGCGGCGATGCGGCGCGATCGTCCGACCCCATCTACTCGGACCCTCATCCAAGAGGCCTCTTCGTAGTACTCGTATCTCTCTCTGCGTCGCGTCCTCCCCGACCCTCTGCATCTTTCTGTTAACGATGTCACATTCAGCAGGCTCTGTCAAAACGCTGGCGCCCGTCATGCCTAGAGTGCCTCGTGAAAGATGTTCTTGGCTTCTTGGCAGTGGACAGCCGCTGAGCTGTACTGCGTGGCGCCAGCAGCAGCGCGGCGCGCGCGCAGGGAGGGGTGCAGTGGAAACCCCTGCCAAGAAGCACCCTGCTTGCCTCCAGGGGGGAG